TCTCAGAGAGATGGAAAAAATGAGCAGTATGTGGAAAAAGAAGAAAAAGAAAATTTTCATTTCTTCACAGAGTAGGCTCTGGGTTTATAGAGGCCTTGAGAGTCTTTCAGCCAAACTGTTGGTGGCTCAAGAGGAGGCTCAAGCAGGTAGCAAGTTCAAGCCTTTATATGGAACCTATTAGCCCAAAAGCAGAAATTCTGAGCCTCTGTTATGGCACCACCCACAAGTTGATTCCTGTTAGATGTTTGTTTCTAATAATAGGGATAAGTTCTTTGAAGGTAGGGACCTCAGAATTCACTCCCCCAGCCTCACCCCTAAGCACTACACATTAAATAACTCTTGCAGATCAGGTGATGGTGTGATTTAGCATTAGGAAGATCAAGGGACATACTGATCTGGAGCATTCACATTGAACTTGACATTCAGACTTTTCTCCCAATTTGTCTACCTATAATTCCTGAGCATTTCAAGTTATAAGACCACCATTCTTTTAAAATTGCAGTCAGAGTAACTGTCACTTCAAGTTAGATTGCTGCAAAAACAAACTATTCTAGCATAAGATAGGATCTCAATATAAAATTGATAATTGGCGAAGATATATGATTTGTGATCACATGATTTTTCTTTCCAGTTTTCCCCAAAGTCTCCCCTATTGGTGTCTTTCTCTCAGAAATATACCTCTGAGGGTGGTTCCATTAGGTATAGGGGAGCTGGCAATACCTATATGTATGGGGTTGGAATATAATACACTGAGATTGATTTTTATGGACCTCATATTAAACTGCTTTATAGTGAGTCCTGGTATTTAATAATCCCTTTGTCTAACAGAATAGAAGAAACAGAAGGGACTTCCCCAGTTTTGCTGAGGGGGAAAAATTGCTTTTATTAGAATTCCATGACAGGAAGGTAGTTTTAGAAACAGCTCAGAGAACTTCTAAGAAAGGTCAGAAACCAGGACCTGAGAAGAAAATTTAATGAAACTAGAATGAATTAGCCTGGAGGAGAGAAAAGAGAGGCAACCTTATACTCTTCCAATGTGCTCATTCTCTAACGAGCTTACAATGAAATGAACCCAGACAACGTCGTGACAGAGTTTAGTTATCCAAATTATGTGTCCTCTGTAATTATAATTTTGTTATTGGACTGTTGGAGTAGCACACTGTTGAAGAAAGTGCTCTGGATTAGAAGTAAGGAGAACCGGATGCTTGAATATGTCACTTAATGATCTAAGACTAAGTTTCTTCAACTGGAAGGGAGACAAGAATTATTCTACATGCTTCATGGTATTGTTCAGAGGTTCAGTGAGATGCTGGCTATTAAAGCTAATATCCATAGAGTCACAGCCATAGGGATAGTGGGCCCCTGTGTTATTATATGATGAAGCACTAAATAGATTGAAATTATGGCCACTCCATCCCCTAGATTCTCTACACACAGAGCATCCTCTGGTCCAGATAGCTTCTCACAGATTGTCTGAGGGCAGGGGATTGAACCAATTACTTCAAAATGTCATTTCACTTCAGAATACTTAGCATCCACTAAGGTCAGTGTGTTAGAACAGCCAATGTGATAAACGTTGTTTCCTTTTTTTCCTTATCTTTTGGATTATTTTTCCCACCAAATGGGATTGAGCAAGACACACAGGGAAGAACTCTAGGATCTGACCTACCATCTATTCTGGGTTTGACTTTTCCCTGGGAAAGTGAGCACCATGAGGTCTTCTATTTTTGGATATAAGTTGGCTTTTTTGGGGGTACAGATTCATGTTGCTTCTATTTGTTGAACAACACAGGGGATATTTATGTCTCAGGTAGAACTGATTCCCTAGAGGTAATGTTTCTTGATTTGTGATCACATGATTTTTCTTTTTTGTACATGATAGAGCTTCCCCAAAGATACTCCTCTCCTCTGACTTATCCATAATGAAACCATTTCCTGGTGCAAATGGGGCCATCTTCCAGAAAGGTGAGAAACCAGGGAACATGGCCAGGGAAGAACTCACAGCTGGGGATTTTCTGGAAAAACAATTAGCCAGATATTACCACAATTTGCTCTTGTAGCACAGCCTCTTTGTGTGGTCCTTTAGTGGCTTGAAGAAGCTCCTTTGCTAGTGACCAGAGACTTCTCCTCTGGGAGCAGGTGTAGAGGGGAATAGAAGAGAAGATTACAGAATTCTAGAGCTGGAAGGGAGTGGCACTCCTACCCAACCTCCCACCCAGGAAGGAATCAGAGCATCTCTGGAGATACTGCCCTCTTTCTCACCTTCCCAAAGCCTTCTCTGCCCTTGGTCAGACAAGGTGAGCCTTTGGAAAATGAATTAATTTTTTTTTTTTTTTTAGCAAAATCTCTCTTTTAAATTGAACTCCTTGTTTTTGTGCCATTTTGGAGTATTCTAGGCCAAATCTGTTTACTTTTGCTTGGCAGTTCTGTGAGTATCTGAAAAAAAGTCCTCACGAGTCACCTTACTTTTCTTCTCTGAACAAAATATCCCCATTGCCTTCAGCCATTCCTTGACAAATATGTATTCCAGATGCAGAATACCCTTCTCTTGCACACATTATTGCAGTTTCTAAAACCTCTATCCTCTAGGGTAAAGAGCACCCACCTTTTGTCTGGTTTCTAGAAGGAGAAAAATCTCTTATGTAAGGAGTTGAGACTTGTGTGTGAGGTCTTACGACTGGCTTACCACTGAGACAGGAAGCAGGAACCTTCTTTGTGAATCCAGATGCCTAGCCTGTGTCTGATTAGTGGCCCAGGGTGCTTCCTGTGAGAGCTGACATACCTTAGTTCTGGGTTCACATGGAGAAACCCTTTCAGAGACTTCAAATCTTTACACCCTGGGATGGCAATTCTAAGAAAATGAGAATCACTCTACCTCAACCAATCAAAAACATTTTCAGGCATCTTTCTACTTCTGAAATTCTAGTCCAAAATGCCTAACTGGTGGCTTGAATAGGGCACTACTTGGTCTATATCCTTTTCCTGGTGCCTCCAGATAGGAGCAATTGCATGTTCCCTCACTTCCAGAACTTTCCATCCACTTCTGAACTAATGTGGCTTCAGGCTTCAAGGAACTAGCAGACATAGAACAAAGAGTTTGGCCCCAGAGGCTTATAAAAGCAAGAGACACCCAAGACTGAAACCACTTTATTTTATTTCCTTTCATTTTTCTCTGCATGTCTGTTTCATTGAAACCACACCCTTTCTAGAGACCCCCAGCCAGAACCACTGAAGACTCTGGCTCTTCAGTAGTTACTGAGCAGAACACTGGACGTGCTGTTGGACATGCACCTGACAGTCTCTGCCCAGAAGCTTATAGCCCAAAATGGCATATCACAGGGTAAAGCCACTGCATTCTAGACTAGGAGAGGTGATATATTAGTAGTTTGTAAGAGAGGAACAGACTTAGAGATGTGTTTAGGACTCTTGACCTGTTAGACCAAAACACTTGGCCAGTTGCCTCCATATAGTGTACATGGTCTTTCTGACACTGGGCAGGCTCAGTTCCTAAGCTCTTTGGTTTCTGGGAGCCTTAACCTGTTACAATCACTGCAGATGATCAGTTGTTCTGCCAGTAATGGCTTTGCAGGACATTATTGAATGGTAGCAGGAGACTTTAATACATTCATGGTCCTCAGAAAATCAGGCCCAGGATGAGAATTTTAGGGCTATGAGGGGTATTTCCAAATATACAGTAATCTTTGAATTTTGCAGGTGTGGAAACTGAGGCCAAGAGATGAGGATTTGCTCAGGTCATACAATTATTTTGTGGTGAAACTGGGACTAGAACTGGGTCTCCTGCCTAGAATAAAGGCTGGAAATTCAGCATACCATTCATGAACTAATGGGAAGTTGAGAGAGAAGGGACAAAATTACTCAAAAATCCTGCTGGTATGGGTAGAATTGGGAAGAAAGAAAAGTGGAGGCCATGGACGTAGCCAGGGGAAAAAAGCCAGTATGTGAAAATACAGATCTAGGGTGGGCTAAAGAGACTTAGTAAGTGACTTCCCAGATTGTGTTTTGTTCCCATTGCACATACAGTTGGAAGCCAAATGCAAGCCACCAAGGTTGCAGTGAAACAGTGAACAATTATAGCACAAATATTTGTGGGCAGCTGTGGGAGTGCAAGCCACCTGCTCCAAGTTTACAGCTTTGTTAAACTTGGTAAACATTAAAAATGGAACAGGAACGCCCCCAGTCTGCAGAGCATCCCATGCCTTTCCTGAGAGGCCTTGCTCGGGGAGCTGGGGATGGCCTTGCCCTTGACCAGGTCCTTCTTGCTCCGGGGGGAACTGCTTTCTGTTGGTAGAGTAGTGTTGTCAATATGCTGTAGCCGAGACTGAGGGAGGTAGGAGCTCTCCCGAGACTGAGGGAGGTAGGAGCTCTCATGGAATCTTACAGTTTGAAAGGGCCACAGAGTCTCCAGAATATAATCTCCCTGCTTTTTTTTAGATGGAGAAACTGAGTTTGAGCTGTGATGTGCCCAAAGTTGAAAAGTGGGGGACAGAACCGTTTGACCCCTTTTCCATGCTTCTTCCTTTAACACTCATGAGGCTTGTAGATGGTGATGAAAAGGGGTCATAACATTACAGAATATTACAGCTGGAGGGGGCACTGTAATCAACTACCAGGACTTTGGGTGGTCACATGACCAGGGGCACCATTGGCATGTAGTGGGCAGGTGCCAAGGATGCTAAATAGCTGGCGGTGTGATAACCTGGCATGATGAAGAATTGCCTTGCTCAAATTTCAAGAGTACCCTTGTTGATAAATATTTTGTCTACCACTTGCCTTGACTGTACTAAACCTAGAGACAAAGACGGGCTTGACCCACGCTGCTGAAAGTCAGCAGTTTTCTGACTTCAGACCACTCTTTGTTCTACTCTATGCCACTGAAGCCCAGAGCAAACCATGACCATCAGCAATGGGTTGACTCCAGCTTCCTCTCCGCTCAGCTCCTGCCACACTTACTCCTAAGTTATTTCCAGGTTGGCACTTACTTGGACTTCAGGCCCTCCTGCCCATAGGGCTGCAGCAGATACTGGTGCACGAGCTTGTCCCTGAGAGTTCCAGCCAGTTTGATTTTCTTTCTTGATCGATGCAGGTTGATAATAAACAGTGTAATGGAGCCACGGACATAGTTGTGGCTGAGATCCAGAAAAGACAGAAGGGAAAAGATGGAAACAAAGTGGTCAGTTAGATGCTCCTAAATTATTTATATGCTACACAAAAGAGGACCACCCCAGAAAAGGACACTGGTTTTATGGCTCTTTGTCACAACAGACCTTCAAGACAGGAAGGCCTTGATATTGTGGTTTCCTGAGAAGATACCTGTTTCCCACCACATTTCTTGTATTTTTAAAAACGTATGGCAGTGATTTTAGAAAAAAAAACAGATATATAGATATATGTATATAGAAATACATATATTTTCTAAGTATGGAAGTAAAACATGATTATTGCAAACAAACAAACCTAGAAAAATATATAAAAATACAATGAAGATTCCCCATAATCATTTAATCTTGAGATATGACAACATTTTGGAAAATATTCTTGCAGTATTTTTTTAGTTTGAAAAATATTTATTAAGTACATTGACACATACAAATATATTACTCAGTTTTTATGTAATTGGGATCACATTATTCACACAGCTTTTTTCAGTTAACAATAATCTTAAACATGTTCTCATGCTATTATATATTCTTCTACTTGTAAATTTTTCAACCATAGAATTGTAACATCATTTATTTAGCTAATCCCCTACTTTTGTGAACTTCTGTTGCTTTCAATTTTTTGCCATTATAAATTATGTCATGAAAAGCTTAATTGTACATAAACTTTTTGGACATCATTATTATTTCTGATAGATAAACTCTTAGAAGTTGTAATATTAGGCCAAGGGAAAGCACATTGTATGTTTTGTCACCAAACGTTCCAGTCTATTTCTAGTGGTGCCCTCCCCATGAGAAGATTTTACGTCCTTGATCTGCTGAACCCCAAAGTGATTACATGATTTGCCTTGTCCAGTGAAATGCGAGTGGATGCTAAGACCTCTGGGCAGAAGCTTTAGAGGCCAGCCTATGTTTTTGCCCTTAATTTTTTTCTCTGCCAGAAGACTGACAATGTTTTGACAGAGGCTATGCCTGGGTGTTGGAATAAAGATTATGCAAAACAGAGCTACAGGGGGGCCATGATGGACAAATTGTATGAATCAGAAATAACCATCCTTATTGAAAGCTGTGGAGATTTTGGGGGTTCTTTGTTATCACAGCATAACCTCACTTATCCTGATGGGTACACACATTTTGGTAATGTTAACTCTCTAGAAATTTTGCAACCATTTGTTTCTACCAGCCTCTGAATGAGAGCACCCATTTTCTCATACTTTAAGAGTATCAAATATTAACCTTTTAAAATACCCTGTCAACCTGAGAGGTGAAAATGGGATCTTGATGTTTTATTAATTTGTATTTTTTCCAATTCATACTAAGGTGCAGCATTTCTTCATTTGCCCATTTCCATCGCCTTTCTTCTTTTGTAAACTGCCTGTTCATGTCTTTTGCCCATTTTCCTATTCATTTATGAAAACTATGTACTTATTAAACACAGGAAACCTTTGTATACAAGTGTATTGCATTAACACAGTTTTCTTTGAGCATTTCAGTTTGTTTACATTGTATTCTGATATATAAAAGTTAAGAAATTTTGTGTAGTTGAATTTATTTATCTTTGTTGACTCCTGCTTTTGCTATTTTACCTGCCTCAAGATTATAAACTATTCACCATTTTGGATTTCTTTTAAACCAGCACAGGATGTCCAGAAGCCTAAAAGAGCTATATGCTTATGTGTAAGAACTTTTCAGCAAGCACTGATGACACTATAATGATTTCCTTCTCTCAGCAGAAAAAGAAAAAAAAAAGCCTTGTTTCTCAGGGGTCCCTGAGGGCCCCATCTGGATGGGTTAATGAGAGGAAACAGAGAAAAATGACCCAGTTCCATCTTCAAAGAAGGAGTTCAGAGAAACTCTAAGTCAACTTTGCCCAGAGGAGAACATTGTTCCTTGCCGACATAGCACCCCTGGTTCCCTGGGTCACTCATCTCTGCTTCTAAAGATGCTAATTAAGAGTTGAGCAGCCAAGGGCAGGTCAGTATGATAACTTGGAATTTTTAAAAGACATGCAAGATTCCAAGGCTATTCCCTAGAGATTAGGATTCAATCCATTTACGTTTGTGGACTCAGAAACTGTATTTTAAAAAGTCTTTCTGAGATATTTGGTCAATGATTTGGGTTTGATAACCTCTTACCGAAGGATAAGGTTACCTACCTATCTGTCTTTCCACCCTGGCCTAAATGATTCTGCCACCAAAACTCGTCCCATGGCCTGGCTCTGCTAAGGCTGTATATAAAGCCCAGAACCTCGTGGCCAGCAGCCATTTTATCCCTGAAAATGAGCCACACCAGGTGTTTGTCAAATAGACCTTTCCGCTGAATAAAGAGATGCTTGCTGATCTGGGATCTGCTTCCTGCCTCTGTCATTTGTGTGCCATGTGCTTACACTCACTTAGAACACTCCATTTAAAATTATGAGGAGAATTCCCAGAATATTCTGCTGGCTGTGCATCAGATGATCCTTTTTGCATTCTTAGGAGGGAACATTATTGTGTTCAAAGCTTTCTGGATGACTGCATTTATGTTCTGATAAGCTATTAAATGATTCTCTTATGCAGTAGTACCTCCTCTGCCAGTCTTTCGGAATCCCCTGGAGCACATGAACTAGCTTTTGTAGCTACATGAGTCAGAAGAGAATATCAATGATGTGAGCAGACTTGTGTCACCAGAGCTCTAAAGAAAGATATTGGTGGTCTGTGTTGGTGCTGACCATCACTAAAGAAGAATACCAACTAGATTCCTCTTGGGCTTCCAACTTAACTTAGCTAACATGGACACTTGAGGAAGATACCATTCGCTGCAGGTACTCTGGGCTTTAGAGTGTGAGCAAAATATGCATGGGTGGGCACCAGTTTTGCCAGACTGCAGTAATTCCCTTTTGCAAACTATCAAACAACACTCTCAAAAGCCAGCACTGGAGGAGGAGAGCGCCACATGCTTGCATTTATGAGTTTCTCCTCTGCAGAGCTGGGGCAGAAGGAGCCCTTGGAGACTTCAGAAAGAAGGGTGGGAATGTGGGGAAGTGGTGGGTGGGAGGGAGACCTGAAATCACAGCATTGCTGCAGGGAAAGTTGTCTTTTCAAGCTGCTTGGCAGTGGCCTGATTTCCATTTACATAGATCCCCTGGGGGAGACAAACCCATACAGCCCAGGGGGACTAAAGTGCACAGGCTCTCACAGAACTTCAAGGAGCCTCCTCAGGTAGGAATTGGCACTGCCTCAGCCATCCCTCGCCCTGCCTGGCTGAGGGGCAAAGACATGAAACAGAGGACTTATGGCTACAAAGACACATGCTTGGCTGGGGATGACATCAAACCTGACAGTATGTGTGGAGAATGCAGATTCTTGAAGAATGCATATTCTCTGCTATAGAAAACTAACCCTGGAGAGTATCTGTTTCTTAAGAAATTGGTGTCTGAAGGCTTGGTCAGCAGGCCATTTTGACTCCTGATGTTGTCAGGTCTAGCTGGCTTTTGGTTTTCTTAGTAAATGCCCCTTTCCGGAGAGAAACTGTCTCTACAGAACTTCTCTCTTACTCCATGTCTCACTCATGGTGAAACTTTTTCGCCAGCAGCCAATCCATGTATCTGGAGTTCATCTTTTCTGGCTGCTCCTTTCCTGCCTGACATCTTCTCTGTGTTACCATGGGAGGAGGAGGAAGTGAGTCAGGGAAAGGAGGCTGTACTCAGAATATCTTGAAAGTAAGAGGTGGGAGATGTCATATGGGAAGTGCATCTTGAGTTCCAGATAGAAAACAGTTGTGTTCTAGAAACATCTCCAGTGAAGCTAGGAGTCTGGGAAAAGGAAGAGAGGATGATGCTCTGCAGTCCATGGTCATTCCCAGTGAAAGGCAATGTGCTTGAAAACTGGGTTGCTCCATTGTCTCCAAATCTAATTCAAAGGTTTTGGGTTCGGTAAAAGTCAGGTCCTGTTTTGCCAAACATTTTTCCCCTTAATTTCAAAGCCCCTGTGTATTTTAAGGGAAATTTAATCCACATGTTTCTGATTCATTTACACTTAACTCATCAAAATATTGTTTTGTAACAGTCATTTGATGTCCAAGAAGCCTCAGGAACCTTTTTTATGAGCCTTTAAAAAAATTTCTTCTGAAAAACAGGAAGTTGTGTTTTGCCAATAATAAACGAACTTGAACCCCAAAAGGCTCAAGTTTGCTTCAACATCCACCAGGTTCCAACTGGTTCTAAACTTGGCTAAGGACCTCAATTCCACCCCAGAAACATACATTGTCTCAGCAGAATGGCTCATAAAAAGATTTCTCTGTCAAAACTTTATTGTTCTCTGAACAAGATCTGCCATTCTGCCCATGTCCTAATTTGTTAATTCCAGAACAGAAAGCAGAAAAGCACCTGCTGGTGTTGATATGAGCAGCTTTGTTCCCTAAATCAATTACGAGACAAGGTTCTGCTAGGTCAGAAATGATCCTCAATGCAAGAGGCTTCCCTCAAAGGTGGTGAGGTGTCTAAGTCAGTGTTTTATGTCTGAATTTCAAGGAGACAAAGGACTCCTGTGTTCAATAGAGCATTGGGACAATGCATCATTAATGCTGTTATTCACATACTGGGGTGATACACAGAACCCTAAGAACTCAAGAAGATAATGTAAATGCAAACATCTGGCAGGATGCTTGTCACAGAGCAAGTGTCCAATACACCCTGGAGTGTAGGAGTTGTTGTTCTAATAGACACTTTCTTTGGATTGCTTTACTAGTAAGTTTATACTTTTTCATCCAATTCCTGTTTTGTCCCAGGACATTCATTTTCAGAGTACTGGTCAAGGCTGATTTGCATGAAAGGAACATGCTCACTTTGGGATAATTCTGTGACTTTGGCTTTTTTGGCCACACCTGAACTAAATGAGTCAGTAGAGCTTCCTAATGATGATTGTGGAGGGTGGATGTGGGGGCACAAACCTCTCCAGGTACCTGCACCCACCACAGGGAGGAGACCTGCAACCTCTGTGGCTCAGTGGGTCCACTGTGGTCTTTCCTTCCAGACCTAATAGGAACAAGAAGACCTTTGCCTCATTTTTTTTTTATCCTTAGCATCACGTGTGACATGGATTATGAAAGCTTTTTTTTTTTCTTTCTTTTTAACAGGGAATGGAAGAGGTATCGATAGAAACCTGGTGGCACCTCTTCCCCGGAAAGGTTCCTCAGTGACTTCCCATAGAAAGTGGAGGTCAGCCAGGGTGGAGAGAGAGAGGATCCAATCCTGATGATTTTACTCACTTGTTCGAGGTCTCATGGTAGTAAATGGGAGAACTCCTAACCATTCTACCACACCACCTTCCCTAGCTAATGTGGTGACACCACAGGGGAAAGAGCCATTAACCAGCAGTAACATCTCAAAGCCCTATTTCTACATTTGTCCAGTTATTCTTTCATTTATCAAATATTTATAAGACCTTTTTCATGCCAGTCACTATATTTGACATAAAGTTTATAAAAATGAATGAGACACTGGCCCAGGGTTCATGGCATCCCGAGAATATTGTAACAACTTCCATGAGAATGTCAAAGAACACTGGAATGAACACTGACTTGAGACCATGTGAGTGGCCCTCCCTGAGGACATACAACTCCTGCTAAATCCATAAGGCTACTGACAGTTTTTCCCTGGGTCCTCAGGGAAAAGGCCACAGCCTGGTGTGTTTTCCAACAGGGAAGGAAGGTGCAAAGATCAATTTTTCTGTCTTGAGGCTGGGGGTCCACCTTTGGTGGTTACCTCAGGGCTAGGCAGAGACAAGAAATACAATGCTGCCTTGTATGATGATCAGATAACTTCAGGCCAAGGCCATAAAGCAGTCACTCTCTGTCAGGTATGGGATCGAGCTTCCTGCTGAGCAAAAGGGATGTTGAAAGCTTCTGGCCTCTGCCCAAACAGCCTCCCCTCACCTACAATAGGCACTTGTATCTACAGGCATGACAACTGCCCCCAACCCCCACTGCTCAGAGTGCTTCTTTGAAATAGCTTATCATGAGGAATTAACTGGCTTGGCTCCTGTCTCATCAAGGACAGAGAAGTAGCATCTGGTGTAATCTGACCATGGCAGCTCTTTGGCTTCCCCTCCACTTGATCAGTCCTGATAGGCCCAGGAATGGAGGTCTAGCAGGAGGCACTAGCTACCTGTCCCTGCCCCAAGGTTTTTTTCTGCAGTAAGAGAAAGAATTCTCTTGTCCAGAGCAGCTTACTTTGCCTTAAACAGGAAGTTATGTCAGAAAGACCTACTTGGCCAGATGAGTTTTGCTTTAGGCCCAGTTTTATGTTTTTCCCTTATGGTCTAAATGTTTTAAAATTTGTACCTGGCAAACTTTATTTACTGATAATTAATTTTCCTATTTATTTTAAAGACAACTCTAATGATAACACCATGTTACCTCACTGGATTGTTATACATGTGAGCACCCCCATCCCCCGAAAAAGAAGCCTACATTTTATTTAGCCTTTTAACACTTAAAATAATGAAGAAGATTTTTGAAATATAGAAATGGCTCTAAAGCTGGCATGACTACCTTTGAGTACTCTTTTAGTTCTAGGGACTCCAGTTTGAGAAAGTCTGGTCTAGGGCTAGGATTCTAGTGGTGTAGCTCTCCAGCATACATCTTAGAAATGGAGACTTATTTTCTCAAATTCTTCTGGTGGATCATAGGGTGAGATTTGGCCACTCACCTTGCCTGAGTCTTATGCACACAGAAAAAACCTTGTGGGCATTATATCAACTGGCACAGAGAAAATGGCCAATAAAAATTTATTGGATGAATAAGCAAATGAATGAATAGCATGTATTTTATTAACCTTTTATGAATAAAACCTGTAAATATGAGAAGGGGAGTTGACTTGGAGAAAAATCTACTTATCAAAAATCATTTGAAACCTGCAGAGTATGGTGATTCTAGAGGCAGTTTTTAACTACGAATAATGAACATAAATATTCCTTGAAGGTATACCAAATGGGGGCAGAGCCATGGTGGCCTTTCTGTTCCCTCTCTGTTAAGACTTACTTGTGGTGGTTTGTGCAGTGAGCATAAATCCTTAGTTTGTCCCGGATCACTCGGCCTGGCCTTGGCTTCCGCTGGAGCCCAGCCACATGCACAGCCAAAACTTTGGGGCCGATCAGGCGCTTGTAAAGGAGAGAGAGCCAGTAGTCCTGAGGAGAACAGAGAGGTGGAGGAGAGTCAGGGAGAGACCTCATGTTTAGGTGTTCTGAGTGAACATGAAAAACACATCAGAAACCACTTCCTACCAGGGGTCCAGCATGGTCACCCACTGAAATGCTTGCTCTGGGTTGCTAATGAACTGGGTTCTGTCTAAAGTGGCCTTTTTCACTGACTAAATGAGGAAGGGAAGTGGAGTGGACCCACAGCTGCACACCAACAGATGAATCAAAGCTTTTCATATATGAAATAACCAGTTAGGGCCTTCTATTTTCAACTTTGTTTCTTATGGCTTTAAGTGGTTTATGGCTTTGGTTTAATTGAAGAATGGAAGCATTATAACCTTAGGATTGTTACCAATTATGAAAATCCAAAATAGTATTCTCCAAATATCGTCAATGGGGACCCACTAGCCAAGGGGGAGGGAGATGAAGCTTCTCCAGCAAGGAACTCAGAGTCCTTGATTCTAGAGCCAGATAGGCAAACATCATGTTTGCATGCCATTCTTGGTTATCCTTCGTATTCTACAATAAAAAGAATAATTCTCAACTAAAAAGAATGTGATAATTTTACCATTCCAGGTTCCATATGTAACTGCTTAATAAATATTCTTTCTATAACTTGGGCGTGTGTAAGTTTAGAAAAGCCTATCACCACCTTAATTTCAGTTGTTGCTATTATCACATATAAAATTTATATTTCACATAAAATTTATATTTTTATTGTGTACGCTCTTAACAACTACTATGGAGTAATGACTTCACTGTTTATAACTCATCATGTAAATAAGGCTTCCTAATTCATTTGCCCCACCTACCTTGGAATTCAGTGAACATTATTCAGTGCATACTCTAGAGTGTTCAAGACATCATCCTCATCTTCTCCACCCTCATCTTTACATCTTTGTTTTTTTCTTGTGTGGTCATCTATAACATTAGTTTCCCCCAAATTTCTGGTGAATTGTATAAATGAGAACAAATTCTCAAAGCTCCTTTTGTCACCAGAATAGCTCTAAATCTTCTCTGAGTAGCAGGATCTAAGCCCTGCCCAACTATTTACCTTAATTAATTTTAAGTGGCCCTTGGATGGCTGTTAAATATGGTCTCCTAATATCTAAAATGACAAATATTCAATTACTGTCAATCACATAGAAGGAGAAAATATCATTGGTTTAATTTACTCTTATTTGGTTATAGTTTCTTTGTTTTTCAAATTACTTTGTGAAATATCTATTACATTCCAATGGAATTTCCACCTTTTTCTTACTGATTCACAACATGCCTTTTGAAAAAAATAATAAAGATTCTTAGGGATTATTATTCCTGATCAATAGATATGATAATGGGCTCAGAATGTTTAAAGGTGTATCTCAGGCCACAAAACTAGTCAGTTGCTAACCCGTGAAAGCAAACAGAGATCTATTTGCCCCCCCATGGCTGTACAATACATTTATGTATTCTGGAAAGGACAGTTATTTGTAGTATATGGAGTTACTGTGATTCAATTTCTGATTCCTGCATTCTCAGAGCATTCCGAAGACAAGAAAGGTGAAAGTACAAAACTCGTCTATTTCTCCAATTCCAACTCACTTGCAGCATGTTTCTTTTTCTTATCCTTCATTTCAATGTCTTATCACAAACACCTGGTTTTTATTTAGGAAATATTAAAAAGCTATAAAGGCTTGTTCTGAAACTTTGCATTTTGGAATGGCTATGATTTTTGCATCATGGTGATTTTCACTTAAGACACATTTATAGCAAGCCACTCACATTTAGGAAAAAGAGATATTATGTTTAATTCTCAATAATTTTGTAAAGATATGTATTTTAGAGAAATCAACATGAATACTCTTTGCCATTATTAAGTGATAGGGTTGAATTTTCATTCAGGTTTATTAACTTCAAACTATGGGACAGCTTAGTGTCAGAATATTCTCTAAGAAGAGTTGAGGATTCTTGGGCAAAATACCAAAGAGGTTTTGAATTGCCACATAAAACAAGTTGATGGATAGATGAATGGATAAAAAAAATGTGGCATTTATACACAATGGAGTATTACGCAGCACTAAAAAATGACAAAATCATGGAATTTGCAGGGAAATGGATGGCATTAGAGCAGATTATGCTAAGTGAAGCTAGCCAATCCTTAAAAAACAAATGCCAAATGTCTTCTTTGATATAAGGAGAGCAACTAAGAACAGAGCAGGGAGGAAGAGCATGAGGAAAAGATTAATATTAAACAGAGACGAGTGGGGGGAGGGAAAGGGAGAGAGAGGGAAATTGTATGGAAATGGAAGGAGACCCTCAATGTTACACAAAATTACATATAAGAGGTTGTGAGGGGAAAGGGGGAGGAACAAGGGAGAGAATTGAACAACAGCAGATGAGGTAGAGAGGGAAGATGGGAGGGGAGGGGAGGGGGGATAGTAGGGGATAGGAAAGGTAGCAGAATACAACAGTCACTAATACGGCATTATGTAAAAATGTGAATGTGTAACTGATGTGATTCTGCAATTTGTATTAGGGGTAAAAATGGGAGTTCATAACCCACTTGAGTCAAATGTATGAAAGATGATATGTCATGAGCTTTGTAATGTTTTGAACAACCAATAAAAAAAAAGTAAAAAAACAACAACAACAACAAAAAAAACAAGTTGATGGAATTAATTCTTAATGACCAGTATTTCCCCCCTGCTTTTCTTCTTGTGAATTTTTAAAATTCACATTAAATTAAATTTACTATCTTGACCAATTTTAAAACTCAAACTCTATACCCACTAAACTTAAACTCCCCAATTCCTTTCTCTCCTAATCCCCTAGAAACACTATCCTACTTTCTATGTACCTCATATGAGTGGAATCATACCTTATTTTACTTTTTCATGACTTGCTTATGTCATGTAGCATAATATCCTCAAGGTTCATCTATGTTGTACCCTAGGTCAAAATTTCCATTCTTTATGTCCCATGTTTTGGCTTTATTTGTGACCTCACATGTGGTCTATCTTGAAGAAAATATTCCATGTGCAACAAGAAGAATGTTACGCTACCGTTGTTGGGTAGAATGTTCTATTTGATCTAGTTGGTCTATTGTGTTGCTTACATTCTCTGTGTCCTTAATTATTTTCTTGCTGGTTGTTCTAACCACTACTGAGAGTGGGGATTACAGTATTCAACTACTATTGTAGAACTGTGCATATTTCTCTTCCCATTTCTGTCAGGTTTTGCCTCATATAAATTTTGATGTTATTAAATGTGTGAATATTTATAATTGCTAAATTCTCTTGCTGTATTCAAACTTTTATTACTACATAATGGTCTTCCTTGTCTGTTATAAACTTTTTTGATTTAAAATCATTTTGTCTAATATTACTGTAGCCACCCCTATTTTCTCTTGGTTACCATTTGCATGGAATTTTCTTTTTCCATTCTTTCAATCTGTTTGTCTTTGGACTAAAGTCTCTTATATATGGCATACAACTGGATTGTGTTTTTTTGTAAAATCCTTTTGGCCAATCTGTCTTTTGACTGGAGAATTTAACCCGCTTATATATACAATAATCATGGATGAAGAATGACTTCTACCATTTTGTTAATCTTTTCTATAGGTCTTTTAGCTTTTTGTCTTTCATTTCCTGCATTACTATCTTCTTTTGTGTTTTTGCTGACTTTTTGTAGGGAATATTTAAATTCCTTTCTCATTGCTTTTCATGTGTATTCTATAATGTGTGTGTGTGTGTGTGTGTGTGTGTGTGTGTGTGGTCACTATTGGTATTACAATTAACATCATAATTACAACACTTTAATTTCCATTTAAACCAGTTTAACTTCAGCAACACAAAAAACAAAAAACAAACAAACAAAAAAACAGTGCTCCTTCACTGCTCTGTCCCTACCTCTCAAAGGCTTATATCACAAAATTACCATTATATACACTGTGTTCTCCAAAACATAAGCTAATGATTCTTTTAAAAACTGGTTTTTTTAAATTATGTAGAAACAAATATAGGTTACAAATCAAAATTACAATAATGCAAATTTTGCAACTAATAATTATTTTTTAAAAATGTTTTAGTCTCTAAAATCATTTAGAAAATAAAAAACAGAGTTACAAACTGTTGTTACAATAATACTAACTTTTAGCATTGCCCAAGTATGTACCTTTGTTGAGATATTTATTTTTTTGTATGACTTCTAGCTATTGTCTAGTGTACTTCCATTTTAACCTGCAGTACTCCTTTGAACATTTCTTGTATGGCAGGTTTAGTGGTAACAAACTTCCTCAACTTTTGCTTATCTCGGAAAGTCTTCATTTCCTCCTTAATTTTGAAAAAAAAATTGAGGAATATAGGTTGACAGTTCTTTTCTTTTGGTACTCTGAATACATCAGCCTGGCTTTCAAAGTTTCTGATAAGAAATCTTCTGATAATCTCTTGTATGTTATGAATTGCTTTTCGCTGTTTTCAAGATTCTCTCTTTGAGTCAGGAGGATTTAAGTTCAAAGCCAGCCTCATCAACTTAATGAGGCCCTAAGCAACTTAGCAAGACCCTGTCCCAAAATAAATATAAAATGGGCTAGGGGTGTGGCTTAGTGGCTAAGCACCCCCAGGTTCAATCCCTGGTACCAAAAAAAAAAAAAAATCTCTCTTTGGCTTCCAAAGTTTCATTATAATGTGTATTGGTATGGGTCTCTTTAGGTTTATTACTTGTAGTTTATGGAGCTTCTTGGATGTTTATGTTCATGTCTTTCATCAAATATGGAAAGTTTTCTGTCATCACTTTGTTGAATATTCTATCACTTACTTTCTTCTTCTGGAACTCCCGTAATGCATATGTTGGTACATTTGATGGTATCTCACAGATAGATACCTTAGATAGATACCTGTTCACATTTCTCCAATCTTTTTTTTTCTGTTCCTCAGAATTGATAATTTCCAATATACTAACTTCAAGTTTGCTTTTCTTTCTTCTGCTTGCTCAAATCTGCCTTTGAA